TGCTGAACCTGTTTAGTTGGGTTTTTTCAGAGAAGAGCAAAAATAGATTGAAACATCAGTGAACTCCTTCACTGGTCAGACCATGCTTCTCCAGAGTGGGTGTGGTACACTAAATATGGTGGCTTAAACACTGGTTTCCTCTACAGCCCTGTCCCAATTCAGGACCCAATGCCCTAGAGCAGAGAATAGTAGCTCATTAAGTGCATCTACATGTGATATTAAGGTACCTGAATAAACTCTGACACAATTTGTGCTGGAGTTTAGTGCTCCTGGGCACACTGTCTTCATGTGCACCTGGGACCACAGCATGTTGAGCGGGGGTGGCGCAGCCCTGGCTGGCAGGGGTCTGGGGGTCAGCCTGCCAGTCCAGGGCTGCTCTGCCTGGCTCAGTGTCGGCTGGGACACGAGTGCTACAGTGCAGAGCTAGTTGGCACGTATCCCCTGCACTATAGCACTTCCATGTTGCAACCAGCTTGGTCCCCATCTACACAAGCATTGTGGTGGAGTTAAGTACTCCGCCACAGGATAGTACTTATATTTGGCAGTACTATCCTACAGTGTCATTAATTAATTTACTCCAGCCTAATAGTTATGCACATGTAAACAATGATTTTTTACTGTGGAGCTAACTAGGCAACTCCACAGTAAACATCTTGCATAGATGCATCCATTGGGTAAAACCAGACCCAGGACTATGCTGTGATTCAGAGGAATGTTCAATAATAGGAACTGTTTTCAAGCCAATGGCATGCACAGTTTGAACTGAAGAATTTATTTCTTAGACTCAGATGTGCTGCAACTGTTTTTTTGTTTTTGCTTTTTTTATAACAAACTTCACACAGGGATTGGAACCAGTAGCTGGTCTTGGTGACTTTGCAGCAGGCCAGCCTTGCACTGTCTTTTAAAAAAACAACATAAGTCTTTCTTGTAATTATTCATTGTCACTACTTTATTAACAATATATTTAAAATCTGAAATAACAGATTAATATTTAATAAGTAGTATTACTCATTCTCTACAAGAAAAACACGTTTGCATAAATAATTTATGTGAGAAAATAAATATGTAATTTACTCTTCGAAATGATAGCTTTTCTTTTCAGATTCTAGTCCCATTTAGAATAATTGCAAAATCTACCAATGCTGCAAAATGTCACATCTTATATGATTTTAGTATAAATTCTACACAGAAAAGAAGAACGATGAGGACCTGTTTTCCACCCAGATTTTGAATTATGTAATACTATGGTCTGTAATTCTATAGCATATGTACAGCACATGAATATTACCTTTCCAATAATGCTCTGTAATGTAAAAACACAAACATGTATGAATGATGTGAAGCTATTTAAAGGAAAGACACTATCAAACTAAACTGAGTATACTATAGACTTCTCAGAAGGAATTCACTGGCTTTCAAATTAGTGAAAGATCACTCCAATGGGGAACCAGTACTTTATCCTCAGGCCCTGCCATACCCAGTCTCAGCACACAGAGTATATGTCTAGAGGATCAATACTTTTCAGAAAAAAGGGCATACATTGATATCTCAGCTTTGATGTTTCACTCCGGTTGCTGTGAAGGGGAGTAAGGAAAATTGTTTACAGTTTTCTTCCCTTTGGACCTCACTGTAACTTACTCAACTGTGGTAGAAGTAGTTTGAAAAAGAAACTGTACAAAAATATGCATCACTATATGTATCTGTTTAGAGGAGAAATACCATAGAATTATTTGGGTTGGCAGGAGTCTTTGCTGGGTTACCTCCACCACCCTGCTCTTTCCTAGCAGAATTGGTTTGATTGTTCCTAAAATATAGCTGATGATATCAGATCTCAACCTTGAATCAATTGACTCTGCTGTAGTCTAATAATAAAGGTATTAAATGGATTGCAGTCATGTTCCGTGGATTGGAGTTGGGATCACAAGTTTCATGTTCCATCTCTCAGGCTTAAAGAGATGATTGGAGACATAAAGAAATCTATCGGGACTTTCTCAAAGCTTGACTATTTCACTAAATATTTAATTTACTTAGCTTACTACTGCTACTTCCTAAAACTGTGTCAAGGAGTGTTGACTCTGCACCTTTTGCTTCCCTAGTCTTCTTGCCCTGCATGACAGTGCCTGAAATAGTTTAAATGTCTTTTGATGCTTTGTTCACATAAAGTGGAGAAAATGACCGCTCACAAAGTGTAACACATGCTACAGACATCATGTTATCTTTGTTTTCCTTGCCTTTCTCAATGAACAAACCACAACACCCCATGCAAATTCCAAGAGTAACTCTACTCTCAGACTGAATTTAGGTGCTGCTACGACCAGCTCAATTTATCTTAATTCTGTCATCAGACCATGGCTGTTAGAATCTAAGTGAGCCCTTGACCCAACGTTGCAGGAGGAACTGGATTCCACTGCAGTCAGTACCTCATTCTGGCCTGTCTGTCTGTGACATGTGGTGTCATGCAAACTATCCAGAGCTGCTGGGCTGTATATCTCAGAGAGGGCCTTCTAATATGCATTTTCTAGCTCAGGTTGGTTGGATTTGCTACTCCTGGCTCGGGAGAGACGAGGCTTCTTGTTCTTCTGAGGCCTGATGGTTTCCTTCCCAAAGTCCTTGAGCTCAGACTGGTTGTGGTAGCGAGTGTAGCGTTTACATTTGCATGTGGTGACAGCTCGGAATTTGTAAGTCCGAGTCTCCTCCCCGGGACAGGCCAGCTGGATGCGCTGAGTGCGAGAGTGTGGTAATCCAAAGCATTTTGGCGCCACCATTTTCCTCTACCAATGGAGTTAGGGAGGAGGTGGGAGGGGACACACTGGCCTGAGCAGACTAGCTCCTTGATGGGTTTGATGCTGCGGCAGGCCCCATCAGTGACATAATGGGTGGTGCGCAGCTCTCTGCAGCTAAAATCTGAAGCATCTGTAAAAAAGAAATAAACCAGTTATTAGGTTATTTTCTTTTCCATCCCTTCATACTTATCCTGACAAGGCAACTGCTCACTGTACCTGAGCCAGCACTTTTACATCTAGAATAGTAATAAAATACACCAGACAGTTAAAGCTGATAAGGGTCATGTGGAATGCTCCCCTCTACCCTAGTAAGCTACACAACAAGAAAGAGAACAGCTAGTAGGGAGCATCTACTCCTCTAAAAACTATATCAAAAGTGATGGCATCAGACAGAAACTGATCAAAATAGCTCTAAACCAAACTCTGAGTCCAAGTCCTTAGAATGATTTGAGATTTTGTAGTTCAGTTTCTGTATAAATGAGAGACTAAGACCTGCAGGGCAGCATAGGAAAAAGACACATCCATTACTACATGGAAAATTAGAGAGGCTAGAAAGAAACCATTGGAGGTAGCTTTCATAGACCCCTCTTGGAGTCAGTGGAGTTGCTCTGCTTGTTGCCTCCAGGTATTTTAAGTCAAATTTTCAGCTCTTCAATTTTCTGCAGTTTTTTTTGAACTGTCATACGTTTCCACAGCAGTTCACTGCATGGCTGCCGCTTATGTAGATGTGCCTGAGCAGGCTAGAAACCTGCTTAGTAAGAGAAGGGCTACAAAGTTTCCACAGCATCAGAGAGCTGAGCACAGGCTACCTACTTGAGCATTTATGCTTGCTCAGGTGTGTTTTTCAGCCTGAGGTATAGAACACTGTCATAAAAACTCAAACTAGTTAATTTAAAGATGCTATCATACGATATAGACATCCTCTGATTCTGAGGTATGCCTCCTGGGTGCATCTACTCAAGACGCTAAACGTGCAATAGACGAATTCTACTGTGCATTAGCATGTCACAGCAAAAGCCATGCTAATGCACAGTAGAATTAATTTACTGTGCATTAGTGTCACTAAAAGACCGTGTGCTGGCACCACTGCTCAGTAGTGCCAGTTACAATGTATTGATTTAGTACCTGTTATTACAGGTACTAAACTTAATGCATAGTAACAACGGTGCATTAATGCACATGTAGACATGCCCCCTGGCCACGTTTACACAAGACACTGACTGTGCAGTAGTGTTGCATGGCAGAAGGCATGATGCGAAGCTACAGAACTGTAGTAATGAGCTACAGTGCAGTCAGGATCACCTAAAAGCCATTCGGCAACGCTACTACACAGTAACTCCGGTTATACAAGACTGCACAGAAACAACTGCACAGTCAGCATCTCATGTAGATGCAGCCCCTGAGTAGTAGAGCTCAGGAGGGATAGCAAAACAGTGGGGTATCTAAAGCCAGCTTTGCACTGTCTGAATTTTAGGTCCTTTCAGAGGTTACTCTTAAGTATGCACTCTCGAATACTCATCTGCATGCTGCTTCATTAGCCCAGATTAGCAGGAATCCAGAGCACCTGACAAGCTCCCTTCTGCTTCTTGGTATATCCCTGTGTCAGGGGCAGTGCAAAGGGACAGCAGAGGGTTGGTAGATGCCGCAAACATCAGGGAAATTCCAGGAGATAGCAGCAGTTACTAAAGAGTTCCTACCTCTCATGGAACCTACTAACTCACCAATCATTTGGTATTTCAGGTTTCTTTTTTTCTGCACACCCACATCATTTTCTTCAGACACACAGCTGCATTTCCTTTCTAATTATAAATCTTACTGGATTTTTGCTTTTGCCTTAATGAAAAGCCAGAGCAAAATGAAATCATAGATATCTTGAGATTTTAGTTCTAAATATTTAGGAAAGCTTTCCTTTCATGGGCCCATTGGCGACGCGTAGGGGGTGCACGCAGGTGCATGTGCACCCCCTGTGAAAAGGTGCCACCAACACTGCCAGCGGCGCCTGTGGGTGGTCACTGTTTGCCACCCCTCACCCTCGTTGCCGACACTGTCAGTGGCATCTGCAGGCAGTCTGCATTCCCCAGTGGCTGCCACCACTGCTGCCAGCAGTGTCTGTAGGTGGTTGCCGACCACCAGTCAGTGCTCTCCATGTCCACCCCCCCCACCCCCCCGCTGTGGCCACCTGCGGGAGCTCCCCACTTGCTGCTGCCATGCTCCCGCCTCCGACAGCACTGCCGCCACCTGCAGGAGCTCACTTTGTCCCCCCAGCCTCCAAGTACACACGGCATTCATGAATGGGCCAGAGTACTTTCTAGTAAAATAAATGCATCCAAACATTAATTGTCGTCAGAAGCTGGAAGAGCACAGCCTCCCAGAAGGGTTCTTTCTACATTTGCAAAGCAATGTGCTTAGCTAGTAGATATGTCTGAAATATATAGAAATTGATTTGAAAGACTAGTTAGCAAGTAAGACTTTGAGCTTCTTCTATATAAGCATATTTTATTCCTTTCTTTTAACCAAAAGAAATATAGCAAAAAAAAATTTTTTTTCATAAGAATGTAAATATGTTGGAAAGATACAAAACTGGACTTTTAGAGGGAGGTCAGCTTCTGTACTGTCCACATTTTCCATGCTTTGAGAAGGTACTTCCCTGGCAAGAACATCAAAGGAGAGCTTTAACTGACTGCCTGAAGTCTTAACTTGACAGGGTGCTAAATATTATTTAGGCATGTTTCTATCAATGAACTTTGAAGGATTTTCTGTCCAGCCAACATTTTTTTTACCCAAGAAGGATTGGGTTTTTGAATATATACCTATTCATCCAGATATGGGCCCTGGTCCTTTAAACACCCAGAGGAGTATTGCAGTTGGTTTTATATTCATGTAACTATGGACTTTGGCCTTCCTATTTTAGAAACTCTAAAGGCTGCATTAACCAGATTAAATGAGAATTGGTGTAGTCTTGGGGCTATCATGTGATATCAAGACTGTATGGATTTAGTCACACAGGTTAATCAGCCTTTTACACTCATGTACTTTCTGAGCAGTTAAGAAACTACATTTTGACTTTGTAAATGTTAATAGTTCTGGCACTGGTCTCTTTTGCCATCACAGTGCCTGGGCACATACTGCTATATTCGAAATTCACAGAATATGCCTCACTGGCTGTGTCTACATTTGCACTAATGCACCTCTTCTAATGCACATTAAATTTAGTACCTCCAATGTGAGATACTAAGTTAATGCACATTAGGTTGTGCTAATGTGCAGTAGTGTAGTTGCATGCTTTTAAGTGGCACGGTGTGCAGTAAACTTTTATTGCGCATTAGCATAATGTCATGGTTTTTTATGTCGTGCTTTAATGCACAGTAAAATAGTCAAGCACATGTGTAGATGCATCCACTATGTGCTGTTTCTGTACAGATATGTGTTATTACATGCTGCCACAGATGGGTTTACATTCTCCAGGTGAGGGCAACATCTGTTAGACTTTAGTTTTGATTCTTCCAATTAAGGACACTGATACACTGGCATAAGAGCATGGCACACCTTGGCTGGACTCCAGATACTTCTTTGGGATCACTAGTGAGCTGAATAAATAGGGGTTTCCTACCCAAGGGCAGCAGGGCAGAAGATTGTAAAACTCCTGGATGCTTCCCAAAATTAATACCTTCCTCCCACCAGCAGAGTAGATTCCTCCTTTGAAGATGTTTGGCCTGTCAGAGGCTAGAGGACTGAAGGACCTCTTATTAGGAGAGCAACCAGTGCTACATCGGTGTGCAAAAGTAGTAGGGAGGGGCTGGAGGGAAGGTGTGAAGTTTTGACCTCCTCAGAAATGTTGCTTGCATTTTTAAGAGGGTTGTTTTTTGGTCCCACATATGAAATGATTTGGGGGAAATCTCAACCCAGTTCACCAACCAGTAAGTATTCCCATTTGCACATCTGGTACTGGCTGGTCTGTTCATTGGTGGCCACAGCAAAGAGGCTAAATGCCCTACCTGTCTCTAAATATTCCAAGTTAGGGTGTCAGGCATATTAGCTAGGGCAGTCTGTGGGTAGTCTGCCTTGGTGCTATTTCTCCTTTGGGATGAAATGCATTCCAGTCTGTAGGGGGTCTATCCAATATTTTTTACCAGTATGGCATTTACTTTCAAACTGTTTTTTTCCCTTGGTGCTGCTTGTGGTGACTCCCCAAACAACCCCCCAGCAACTCTAGGCATTGGTGTGTTGAGGCTCTGGTATTGTCAGATAACTAGTAGGATGTTACTGTGATTCTTCCGGGGTGTCTCTTGATGCTGTTAGTTGCACCTAAGGTGTAGCAGTGTCTTTAAAGTGACAACCCTACCAAACAACGATCTACCTTCAAAATAACCACTGATATATTTGGATATAGATTCTCTCCATGATACCGTAAAACCTGCTAAAAACCAGCTTCTGCTGGCCACTGAAGTCCAAGGGATATAAAGAGCAGCACATTCCTCCTCAGTGCAGTCTCCATTCATCAAATTAGCTCTGAGCTAACAAGCATCACTGTCATGTTTTTTGCTATGTAGTTAACAGCTCTTATTCACATCTATATTCCCTAACCAGTTCCCCCTTCTAATTTCAAAGGAAGAAGGATTACTCTAGATATATGTTCATGATCTTTGTAGCCTGACAAATATAGTAAATCATATCAATCAGTGACATCACTGGCTGGTGTTATCTAACAAAAATATCACTTCTCCAGATCTTTTGTTTATACCAATTCAGTGTAGCATTACAGTAGCTCTAACTATAGAACCCAAATTATTTAGAGATACTTACTTCCGATCATTTTATAATTCTAAATTTCAACTAGAATTTTGAAAAAGCCACTATAACTTCTCTATCAGGGCAGATGTTCAGATGCTACCATGAAGAGGGCCACATAAGATGATAAGTATATATCACATATATACTTATCATATAGATAGTTAAGTAACTATAGATAGTTAAGTACATGTGAGACTGTTAGACAACCTCATTTCACCAATAGATAATTCATGCTATCCGATTTTGATTGCCCATCCCATTGTCTGCTATGTCATTTCTTAAACACAAGATTGAATTCCCTACAACTACAATGTCAGCTCAATGCCCAGTAATACTTCATCAAAATACACACTCATGCTTGTTAACACAACTCCCCACACAAAGTATGTGTGTGAGGTTTTAATACAATAGTAGAACATCATTATTCTTACCATTAGGGTCCAGAGACTGCTGTGGGTGTCTTCCCCCATGTTTTGCCTGGTTCATTGTGTTGTTATTGTTGCTGTAAGCCTGCTCCATCGGTGTTTCCGTATTTTCAGTGAGTTCTGGGATGATTTCTGTAGCATCATTCTTAAAAACTTGCCATCCTTCCACTAAGCGAAAGGCAATTTGGATCAGGACACAGACAGAGCACGCAGCCCGAGAGATCTGCATCGTGGGCAGCCGAGAGATGAGCCTTTCAGCACTCTCACAGTCTCAAATCCCAGGCAAAGGCAAATTATTCTCCTTTTTAAAATCCCTTTTAGAACCAAGCCAGCCAATGAGTACACAAAGTGGGAAGGGCCAGACAACAACTCATTCATCCCAGCTTTGTCACTGAAGTCTAGGAATGAAATACCAGACAGGGGTGGTTGATCCAAAACATTCTGAAACTTTTCTTCACATATTTGGAAAACGTTACAGAGGTCCCAGTCCTGTGCCAGGCACTAGTGCTGAATGACAGGCCTAGGATAAGTTGCACACACAATTCTCCCTGCAGAAACTTCTATCCAATACTTTCATGAATTAACCTGCTTCTTCTTCCACCTTTGATTCTTTTGTTCCTGGGATTTTTAAATATGTTAAGACTACTTTTCCTGGAGAAATGCAACTTTAAAAAAATGACAATATAAGCATAATTAGAAACTATAGCTCAAAATTCATGTTCCCAGTTTCTCAGGGCAAACATTTTTATGGCTTCAACCAGGAGTTTCAAGTTTTGTTTCACAAATGTGCTAAATAGCCAAGGAAGAATTTCTCTTTGGAAGGGGAAAAAGCTCTTTAAACAGTTTTCTTGTACACATTTCATTCATTTCTGCCCCAAAGTTCATATGGTATGTTAGCTGAAATAGGCAGGCAGGCACTGGGGTGTTAACATTTTCTACTGCCCAATAGGATGTTTCTCTCATCTTACCTTTACTCTCAGTTTGCTTACACCTTGTTGGACACACTACCATTACCACTAACATGTGATATATGTATCACTATGGTATACTTGCTTACTTTTCAGCACAAGAGGGTGATCAAGCTACTGTTTAAAACTAGGTCCTCAAAGAAAACAAGAGAAGGGGTAATATTGTGATTAAAATCCCATCGCTGCCACAGCTTTTTTTTTTTGTGAGGATGTGGCAATTGCATCATCTCAGAACCCTAGGAGTTCTACCTACCCTACTTCTTTAGCATAAATGAGTGAAGAAAGAATAAACATGTAAATGTTTGTATGATGCTTGCAAACAGACGTGAAGAGACCACAGGTGGAAACAGATGTTTTAACCAAAAGTTGTATGACAAGCTTCTGTGAGCTTTTGTTTGTTGAAGTTGTTCCTGGACCAGCTCATCCTTGTGAAAATATTTATTTTAGAACAGATGCAAAGCATGAAACTGAATTCCACTCTTTTAATGATTGTTCGCAGTGTCAACAGCAGCCTTCATTACCTGACTATTATCTTCTGACCTACCTGTCTAAACATCCCAAACAGGTGGGTTGTCTGGTTTTCCCTCCCTTGGCAGGACTCATCACTTAAGGTTTGAATTCCATTCTGACAATTCCCCTAGCCTAGCAAGGAAAACAGGTGTTGCCAAACTTAATACATTAAATATTTGGAGCAAATTCACCCTTGCTGTAACCCCACTAAAAATAATGGTGTTAGGACAATGGCAAGGATACTTAAGAAGTCCTTTTCTGCCACCTGCCTTCCCACCCCTTACAAAGAAGGTCATTTTACGTAATATCCAGTTCTGATTTAGTAGCATCTACCATATTGTGTCTGTCTCACTCTTTCACCCAAAGCTATACAGTTTGACATCTCAGGAGAGTCTTCTTTTCCCAGATATTCCTCTGAGAATTTAAAAACAGCAGTTTCTGATGCTGCATAGCAAACCATCTCCTTCTTTTCCCTTTCCACCCTACCCCCACACCCAGCCAATTCCCTTCTGTTTTTACGGATGAATGCAGTTTGTAGTTTTACTTATTTCCTTCATACATGAAGCTTTTGTGCAGAATTTATCAGAAAATCATTCACTGATAAGTACTGTCGCCAACCAATTCTTTCTGGAAGTTTAAATAAACATTCCAGCACTACTGTTTCCTTTCCCTCTATAAACAGAAGCCTCTGCTCTGATCCTCTTTCATTAATAACTTCCTCTAATACTCAAAGCAATTAATGCTGAACCCTAAGATTTACAGGAAGTCCAACTAGTGATCTGTTGTCACAAAGGGAGGTGCTTTTGCCTTGGAACTATGCCTGTTGTGCACTCACAGGTAGAATATGTATCGTGCATACAGTCACTTTCAACATTCCCATATTGCCTGTGCCCATATTGATTTCTGCAGGATCCCAAGTGCAAACCCACTACAGGACTGACAGGTAGAAGCTGGTGTTCTGGTAAGACATAATCTCCTTAGCACACTATGCACCCATAATGCCATGTCAGCAGAAAAGAATCCAAGGGTTATAGAGGATCACAAATGAAACATGAATCAACAATGTGCTGCAGTTGCAAAAAAGGCAAATATCATTTGGGGATATATTAGCCAGAGCATCTCATGTCAGACAAAGGAGGAAATGGTTCTGCTCTGGTAAGGATCCATGTGGAATACTGCATCCAGCTTTGGCCACTGCATTTCAAGAAAGAAGCAGGTGAATTGAAAAGAATACAGAAGAAAGTAGCAAGAATGATAGGAAACTTAGAAAACATGACATGTGAAAGCAAGGTAACATTTGTTTAGTCTAAAAGGAGAAGACTAAGGGGGATACATATTAAGTCTTCCAGGATACAAAGGGTGTTACAGAGAGGACAGTTGTCAAATGTTCTTCAGGGTCACTTGGTAAGGGACAAGAAGAAATCAGTTAAATTTGAAGCAAAGTACATTTAAGTTTGATGGCAGCAAAAGTTTCACGCCCTGTGCTCTCACAAGTTGGCTGGGGCAGAGAGGCATGCTGGGCAGGCAGTGGTGCCTATCTGCCTGCCTACAAGACACACTGCACTGCTCCAGGTCCCAGCCAGACTGCACCCCATGCCCCTACATTTCCAGCATGCCCATTTATAATTCTCAACAGTCAGTTGGGACCAGCCTCTGAAATCTGGGACTGTCCCAGCTAAAATGGACATATGGTCACCCTATGCATGGAGTCTTGAGATATTTAAAAATAAGCTAGATATGCACTTGTCTGGGATGATCCTGCCATAAGCAAGTGACTGGAGTAGATAACCTGCTTAGGTCACTTCCAGCTGTACTTTTCCATGATTCTATGGGCATGTACACAAGTGCAGGCAGCTTGTCAGGGAGGTGCTCTAACTCATGGTGCTTTACAAAAAGCATCATGACAGCATCTACACAAGCAAGGGCATGTATTTGCAGCAGCACAAATACTAGCAGCACAGATTTGTGCCACAATGCATGCCCCTGCCTGTGCACTTTGCAGTGGGACACATGGTCCTGCTCTTCCATGTGCTACAGGGTGGGGCTGGCTGCGGCATAAGGTTGGCTGGAGCCCCCACACTGAGACACATGGAGACAGGGGTGTAGGCAGCCTTGGGTTGGCTGCTAGCCCTTCTTGAGGCACACTGCACCTCAGCCAGCTGCTCTGTCCATCTCCACTTCTGTCCCAACTGACACCACTTTGGCATGCTTTGTGCTGCTGATTTATTCAGGATATTTTATTGCTAATGGGATGATTTCCTGCAAATTAGCAGCTCTGTGCACGGTTTAATATGCAACACATGCAGTTTGTGGTGCCACAAACTCCACATGCCTGCACATCTGGATCCAACCCATGAGTCAGAGTGCCATTGATCCAAACAGGTGTTCACCTGTTGGGTGGGGGAGCTCAGAGCTTGCCTGCACTGGCCCTGGTCAGCAGATGTTGGTGCTCCAGCAGCTTCCCAGGAAGTTGCCAAACTATCTTTCTCCTCAGCTCTCCCTGCCCCCCCCAAACTATCAGAAGTGGCTGGGAGGGGAGAGATGGAGCACCCCACCCCCCGCCATATGTATTTCCCCCCAGCTATCCCTGCTGGAGTCTTGTGGGGAGCTGGGCCAGTTCCACAAGGCAGGGCGGGCTCCATTTCCCTCCCCACCACACCAACTCAAGGTATAGCAAGAGCCTCAGTTAGGAGAGGAATGGAGCCCCTGTGTGGCATGTGCCCAGCTCAACTACTCCTCCTTGGAGCCTTGAGGGGAGCTGGACCAGGCCCATGAAGTGTGTGTGTGTGGGGGGGGGGGGGTCAGGGGAGCTCTGTCTCTTCCTCTGTCCCAGATCTGGGTGTGGCAGCCTCTGCTGCTGTCAGGATGTTCATATAGGGGGACAGGTCATGGGAGAAGGGAGGCCCACCCCTCCGGTGTGGAACCAGGCCAGCTCCCCCCAAGACACAAGCAGGGGTAGCTAGGGGATGCACACGTGGCAGTGGGCACTCCATTCCCCCACCCCCTGCTCCCCACCCCTCCCCAAGCATCTTGACAGTAGCAGAGGGTGCCACACTTGGAGCTGGTGGGGAGGAATGGAGTCCTCCTGCCATGCAGGTCCAGCCTGGCTATCCCTGCTGGGGTCTTGGGGGAAGCCATCCCAGGCCTACAAGGTGTGGGGGGGGCCTCCATTTGCCCCCTCACCCCTGTTCTGGGCACACCAGCCTCTGCTGCTGTCAAGATGCTTGCACAGGAGGTCGGGGAAAGGAGCTGGATGGGCCCAACCTGGGTTCCCCCAAGACCCCAGCAGTAGTAGCTGGGGGACCTCCCTTCCCACACCCCCTGTCCTGCCCCCACTGCACAGGGAGGAGATTCTATCTCTTTTCTGAGACAGCCTCAGGGGTGGAGCTGGGGTGGTGCTCACTGCCGCAGCACCAACCCAGCCCAGCCCCATAAAGCTTCATGGAATGCAGACAGAATTACCCAAAATTAATCCCCACCCCACAAAGGTGTTCTGCCTTAGAGTGGCCCTGTCTGATACTTCATCAGACGAGGGTTACATTTCTGTATGACTGGACATTTAAAAAAATGCAGCCTTGAATATTGTTACATTACAGCTATAGAACATTTCAGGGCCCTCATTGGCCAAAAAATGTAACTTCTATAAGTGCCCCATGACACTGCATACCTGGAACAGACTTCCTAGGGAAGCTGTGGAATCTCCTTTACTACAGGATTTTAACACATTAGAAAGCATCTGTCAGGGATGGTCTAGGAACACTATATCCTGGACTGGATCCATGATT